CATGTAACTGGTCTGAGGTCTCTAGGATTATTTTGGACTTGATTCTGGTGAGGCTGGGGTATGTAAAAATTTCCTAGATAGCTGAGAGGGGAGGAAAAAGTAATATATGAAAGGCCAGCTTGACTCCAGGCACTCTGCCAAAACCCACTGCCACTGATTTTCAAGGCAACCCTAAAGGACAGAGAAGAACTACCCAATAGAGTCTCCAGAATTGCAAATTTGTTTAATTTTATTTGAGTGGAAGTTTACAAAGCAAGATGACCATTCATATGTAAGCTGCTTTAATTACAATACTCGCAATGTAAACTACTCTTCCTATTTCTTCCCTATGACTCTTCTATTTTTATAAATACTTTCATTTACTTATTTACTCCCTTCTCCTCTCTTCCCATTGATGTTAACCTAAAGTTTATTTTGTATGCAAACCTTTTCCTTGCTTTTTATAATAGTGGTCATATATCATAAATGTCCTTTGGTGACCTTTGGTCATTCAGCAGAATTTTTTCCAAGATTCATCTTTTGTTGTTGTTGTTGTTGCTGCTGCTATTGTTGTTGTTACGTGCTGTCTAGTCGCTTGCGACTCATAGCGACCCTATGTACAACAGCCCTAAACTCTGCTCTGTCCTGTGCCAAGAGCACTGTCTCTGACACTCCCATCCCGATTACCCCAGTCAATCCACCTCATAGAGGACCTTCCCCTCCTGTGCTGTCCCTCCACACTCCCAAGCATGACATCCTTCTCCAAGGACTGGTCTCTCCTTACATCATGTCCAAAGTATGTTAGACAGAGCCTCAGAATCCTTGCCTCCAAGGAGCCACCCGGTTAACCCTTTCCAGGATGAATCTGTTTGTTTTCCTAGCAGTCCATGGTACTCTCAATACTCTTCTCCAGCACCACAGCTCAAAGGCATCAATTCTCCTTCTATCCTCCTTGGTCATTGTCCAACTCTCTGATGCATAACAAGTGATTGCAAAGACCATGGCCTGTATCAGATGCACCTTAGTCTCCAGAGAGACACCATTGTTTTTCAGTACTTTGGAGAGGTCCCTAACAGCAGATTTTCCCATGGCCATACGCCTTTTAATTTCCTGGCTACTGGTGCCAAGAGTGTTGACTGTGGAGCCAAGCAAACTAAAGCTGTGAACAATCTCAATCTCTTCACCATGAATCCTGATGCTGCCAATTACTAACAGTATTTAATGAATTTGTGATCTTTTTCAGTGATGTATATTCACTGTGTGAATACACTTTTATTTTCATCCACAAATAGAACATTTGGGTTGTTTCCAACAATTTGCTACTATAAACAATTAACATAAGAGGATAATTTGGTAGTATCAATTTAAAAAAAAAAATAAAACCTAACAGGCTGCAATAAACATGAGTGTATGTTAAACTATTGTGCCATAGCTTTTCTTTTGAGGGAATTTATAGTTAGTAGTGGGAATACTAGATCAAATGGCATTTCTATTCCTTTCATTTCCTCCTGCATGGATGGCTGTCTACTTCTTTCTTCAAATCTGCCAAAGTTAATTTCACATATTTATCAGCTCTATAATGAATAGTTATTTTAACTTTCTAGAAGTATAATTTTAGTTTTGCCATCCCCTTTAGCACAATTAGGAAGGTTCTCAAAAAAATATTTTCTTACCAACTCTCTCATGGACAATGTTACATAGGATAGAACACCAATTGTGGACTTCTGCATGGATGTTGTTGTGTACCATAAAATTAGAACCAACCAGAGCTGACCCTCCAGTGGATTTTCAGAGGCAGTTAATCAGACAGGAGAAGAATGTCCATCTTTCTCTGGAGCAGCTAGTGGCCTCAAATGCCTTTGGAACTGCAGCATAGCTTCTTGCCACTGGGCTACCAAAGCTACCCTTTTAGCCCTATCTATTTCAGCTGTGAGAGACCTCTCAAGAGTACTGAAGAGCAACAACGTCAGGCTGGATACTAAGGTGCACCTGATCCAAGCTATAGTCTTTGCAGTTACGTGCTATGCATCAGAGAATTGGACAGTGACTAGGGATTACAGAAAGAGAATTGATACCTTTGAGCTGTGGTGCTGGAGAAGAGTGCTGAATATACCATGTACTGCCAGGAAAACAACAGGTTTGTCCTGGAGAAGTGAAGCCAGAATGTTCCTTGGAGTCAAGGATTCTGAAGCTTCGTCTGACATACTTTGGGCATGTTGCAAGGAGGTCCTTGGAGAGGAACATCATGTTTGGCAGAGTGGAGGGTCAGCGAAGGAGAGGAAGACCTTCGATGAGATAGATCGATTCTGTGACTAGAGTGGTGGGAATGAGTGTGTTTGAGACGGCTAGGTTGGCACAGTATAGAACGCCGTTTAGAGCTCTTGCACATAGTGTCTCTATGAGTTGCAAGCAACTTGATGGGACATAACAACATTTCTTGGAATTTATTTCTAACAGACCTACTCTAGTGGGTTTAAGGTTAGCTGTCTAACTGACCAAAATAGGCAACTAGATCCCAGAAGCACAGTCTTCCTAGCTGGACTGGACCTTTAGTAACATCCAGAGACAAGGATGTTCCCCACCTAAGTGCATAATTCTCCCTTCCAAATTAAATAAAGTATCCTAAATGTTTTGTGACTCTAGCTTTGCAATGGGAAACCCCTCAGAAAATGAGAGATTCAGGGGGATGCCGACAAGTAGTGGAAATGCTAAATATTAAACTTGCACTGATGTCTCTACTACAGAAACATCATTTAGCCTCTACTTGATTCCTAGAATGAGGTATCAGTCCAGCATTAAATCCATCTTTGACTCATGTCTATAAAGGATTATGCTTGGTGTCTATGTCTATGTGGCCTGGACTAGCCACAAAGCATCATGATTCTTAAGAAAAGCATCTCAGTGGCCTGTCACAGGCACCAACACCTTGGCTGCTGACCTCACAGTCTCCCGACAGATAAGGCAGGAAAGAAGGATACATTGACCCCTTGAGTAAATTGGCCTAGCCTTCCCTGGGATGGGCCTATTTATTCTATTGATGGGGTCAAAGTACTGAGTACACAGCTGGATGGTTGTAACAACAGAGCTAAGAGTCTCTTCAGATGAAGGCTACAGATCTTGGTAACAAGAACTTCACAATGCTGCAAACAAATCAGGGAATAAAAAAATACCAGAAGCTCCTCCATTAATTATGTACTCTAAATTAAAAGTGTCTGACTGACATGAAACCAAGGAAACCCCACCACTGACAGAGCAGGGAGAGGAGGAGCTGGTCAGGCACATATTATAATGTGATCTTAGCAACTGAAAGAAAACCAAGCAAGGACTCCAGCCAAGGAGCAACTACTATCTTCTGAGACTATAAAGACAGCAGGCATATGGAAACTGCCTAGAGATTTGAGGAGTCTCGAGGTCTGTTTCAAATGCCAGCTTGCTCATTACAGCCCATTTCACTAACCAAATCACCTATAAAAAATAGGCTTGATAGTATCTAGAATTTTTACTTCACAGGCTTGATGATACTATGTGTAGAAGCCCTTTGAGAACTATGAAGTTCAGCCTTAATATTATAGTTAGTAGGATCCAAACCATCTGAATAGTGGGCATCAACCAAATTAAAAACTTCCCCAGAGACGGTGATTTAGGGGACTAATTGCCCTCCTTTGTAAAATGAAGATGTTAGATTAAATATAATGCCCAAATTATATTGGACTAGTGGACTAGTGGTCTAATGGTAAGAAACTGCACTGCATTCCCAAAGGCACACCATTCAAATCCGCCAGCTACTCCGAGAGAATAGGATGGGCAGCCTCCTCCAGTGCAAATTACTGCCTCTGAAAATCTGCTGCAGGTTCAGCTACGAGTTGGTTCTGGATGGCACAAAACTACAGTTATAACCCCAAAAAGTAATAATAATGCATTGGTGAGTTAATCGGTCAAGTGAGGATTGTTGTTGTTTTGTGCTGTCAAGCCAGAACCAACCCATCGCTGACCCTCCAGCGGGTTTTTCCAGGCAGTAAATCACCTGGAAGGAGACTGCCCATCCAGTGTAGGTTCTTACCACCAAAGCCAACTATGTGTGCCATACCATTTCCTAAAAGAAAGCAATTATTATTAGTACCATAAAGAAGTAAGGAGGCAATGTTAGAAGAAGTCAGGAAAGGCCCGAGGCCCAAGAGTGTGATCAAAGAGACTAGTAACCCTTGGGGTCACCTCAGCAGGAAAGGGTTCATCTACTCTTAGCCACACAATTTCTGACCTTTAGGACACAACCTGACAACAGTGAAACTCAAGCATAAGCACCATATATTGTTGTTGTTCAATGCCATTGCCTTGCCTAGGACTCAAAGCAACATATCTGAACCTGGCCCTACTCTGCACCTTTCTCACCATGTCTGATACACCTGAGCCCATGTTACAGTCAGAGTCTATTCAAGTTAAGTCTTCTCTTTCAATGACCTTTCCAAGCATGATGATTTTTTCCCCCCAAGAACTGGCCCCTTCTGAAAACTGCCCAAAGTATATGAGACCAAGTTTCATCATCCTTGCTTCTAAGAAGTACTCTGGTTGCACTTCCTCCGAGACAGATCTGATCTCTTGGCAAGTACATGAGATATTCAGTACTCTTCTCTAGCATGGCATCTCAAAGACATAGATGCTTCTGTCCTCTATATGAGCAAGTTTTAAAACTAATGATACTAGAAACCTTAGGGCCTCTGAATTTGGCACCCTGGGCTCAACTTGTGCAATGGTCTCCCCTCAGCACACTTTGCTGTCCAGGAAAGCACGCATCTGTTCTGCACCCCACCCAGTGTCCCTCATTCAGTGCCTGTCCAGCACCTCCACTGACCAGCACTCTGGCACCCGCACCTGTCCGCATCCTTCACAATGTCCAGTACCCTGTACCTGTCCAGCGCTACATAACTGTTCGCACCCGGCCAATGCCCAGCACCCGCACCTGTCCACATCCCTCCCAGTGTCTGGGTCACCCCACCCCCAGGGCCCTGAGCACGCTTTGCTACCCCATAAGGCTGGTCGCGCGGCTCTGCCCGGCCTCTGCCTCGCTGTCGTCCACCACTGGCGTCCGCGCGCCCTGGCCAGCTCGGCCTCCTACCCCCACACTCTCAGGCCCGCAGGAGCCCACCACGTCCGCCCCAAGGTCGGTAAGGCCGGGCCTCCAGCAGGAGGACCAAAGACCGCCAGGCCCGGGAGAGGCGAGCGCCCCTCCGGCCGAGCCAGACTCTGGGCCCTGACGGGCCTGGTGGGTGCCGAGCCCAGAGCCACCTTCTCACCCACCCTCGAACCTCGGCGGTGAACGCAGCAGCTTCGGTCCCGCGCGCGCGCCAAGCAGAACTCACCCCGGCGACGCCATGAGCGCGGCGAGGTCGTGGCTCCCGCCTCCTCCGCTTCCTCCGCCGGCGACTCCGCGCCGGGGAGGGGCCTCCGCCCGTCCCTCAGGCCAGCCGCGCGGGCCACTCCGGGCGGGGCAGCCGCCCGCCCGAGTTCTGGCCGGAGGACGCCTGGACGTCTGCTCCAGAAGGCGCAAGAGGAGCCAAACTTGCAGGGCCCACCAGATCGCAGCCCTCCTGATGACTCAGGCTTGATTTCTGCAAGAAAAGCTTTTATGATTAAGTAACAAAGTTTCCTAGTTCTTACTTGCTCTGAGGCCTTTGACAAGTTGCTGGCCCCTCTCTGTGCCTCATTTACCTCTTGTAAAATGTGGGCAGTGGTAGATTGTGAAGTCCTAAAAGATGCCTAGTAGTCTTTGTATTATATATACAGTTTTCATTGCTCCACCTATAGCTATTTGTACTTAAACAAGGTCTTTTTGACCTTTGCCCAGGTGTCATAGTGGTCTGAGCTTCTAAGCAAAGGACCAACGGGTTTATTTGCAGATAAAAGCTGTGGCCCTTAGCGTCTGTAAAAATGCGCGGCTTTCGGATTCCTTTGAGCTTTTCTGTTCTGTCGTCTATGGTCTCAGTGAGTCTTTGTTGCACTACTTCAATGGGTTTTGGGGTTTGAATGTCTCTGCAAAATGAGATTTCAGAAAGTGAAAACACAGTAAAAAGTTCTAGACCGTTGTTGACATTTGTTGTTAGAATATTAATCATCTTATATTTTTAGTGGCATAGTGGATGATAAGGAGTTGCACAGCCAACACAAAAGCACATGATTCCAATTCATCAGCTGCCCCACAGTCACCTCTGAAGCGATGCAATTTACTTCCCCTGAAAACCCACTGGAGGGTCACCTATGGGGCGGTTCAACTCAGCAGTACACATCAATAACAAGAGTAACCGGGAACTGCAAAGTGGTGACTGAAAACATTGTTAGTGACCAAAGACTTGACTGTTAGAACAAAATATTGCCCAGTCTGCACCATCTTCACAATCAATGATCTGTTTGAATCTGTTGTCTCTCACCCAGGGCAAAGCCTGGTCTCCTTTCTGACGGAGGAGATCTTCCAGAAGGAGGTGGGGAGAACAGGAGAGAGAGATCATGAGAGGGAGCAGGTGCTGCACTGGCTTCCCTGGTCTGACATTGCCAGCTGAAGGAGCCAGGAGGGCATCTGGGAGGTGAGAGGCAGTGCATGGTGATGCAGAGCTTAGCAAAAAGAGTGAGGACAAGTCAGGGATTTGAGTTTATTAAGCATGGCATGTTTGAGACACAGCTGAGTCCCCCTCTGGAAGTGGACAGGACCCTGTGGAGTTTTAGGCTAGTGCTATGCTGACATAGGTGCTGGATATTCATCTGGCCCATGAAGGACATGGGCTGGGAGTATGGAATGTTTTGACCTCCATCCTGCTGGATCACAACATGATGATCTGTGTGATGGCTCCTGTAGGAGTGATTTTTAGTATTATAATGCAGAAAAAGGTCCCTTCAGGGCACTTTTCCTATTTTTCTGAGAAGTGCTACCTTGGAGAGATCTCTAAGTTACAAGGTTGATTATCAGCCATTTTCTGCTTCTATTTGGAAGCAGGAGTGGCATCCACTTCCTAAACAACATGCCTCTAGAAACTCTATGAACTTTGAGAAGTGACAATAGTTATAGAAAAACTTCAGGTCTTTTGTTCAGGATCACTATGAGTTGTTCTCGACTCAACGGGAACCAGCAACAACTACAACAATTCTAATGTAATGGGATCTGTGGTGGCCTAGTGGTAAGAAACTGTGCTGCAATCCCAGAGGTATATAGTTTGAATCCACCAGCTGCTGTATGATAGAAGGATGGACAGTGTCATTAAATGCCTGTGAAAACACCCTGGAGGCCAGCTATGTGTTGGTTCTGACTCAGCAGCAGACAATAATAAAAATTCTGATGTAATATTTCAACTTTCAGCCTAAAGGTCTCTTGGTTAGTGTCAGGCTGGTTCTTACCATTGTCCTCTGCTCTTTTATTGTTCTGGACAGTCCTCATCTCTAACCTCTTAACTTTATCCTTAGCAAACTCATTGTTGCAGCTATTATTGTGTCAATGCCTTCCATGGAGGATCTCCCATGTCTCCAAAGGTCATGAAAGAAACCCTCCATGAGATGAATTGACACAGTGACTGCAACAGTGAGTGGATTCAAATGTTAATGGCTGTGAAAATGGTGTAGGACAGGGCTATTTTGTTCTGCTTACATAAGGTCACCATGAGTTGAAGCCAGACAGATCAACAATGATTACATCAACAAAGTGTAGCCTAATAAAAAAAAATCTTATAAAGAGCAAGAGCCCCATGAGGATAGGCATATCTGACCTTTACCAACTCTACAGTGGGGAACTGTCCCCATCAACAACACAGAACTGATTCTCATGAGGTCATACATGTTCCCTATGCTCCTGCACCTCTTTCTACTCACCCTAACACTAATCTTGCTACTCTCCTAGGTCCAAAACCCATTGCAATAGCTCACATATAACACATAACCATCTTAGGGGAGTTAAAGACTATAATTCAGGTTATTAGCAAAATACAGCCACTCAGGACAGCTTCTGAAATGTGCTTACAGGTGCCTCAGCCTTGAGCCTTGTGTCTTTAGGCCAGTATTTCAGAGCTCTGCCAATTAAGGATCTCCTCCTCAAACTTGGGCAAAGGCTTCTAATTCTGGTTACTTAGGGTAACAGTCTAAAGGTCACTTCATCTGACATCAAGTCTCCATTTTCCTGCTGCAGCTGCTGCTTCCCATAAGCCCTGAAGAGTATGGCTGCACAAAAATCTCTGGCCTAAAGGATGTGCTGCATTCTTTTGCTCCTTTGCTGATGGTGAGGTTCTCCTTTCTGTTGGTTGTTGTTGTGTGCCATCAAGTCTGTTGCAACTCATAGCGACCCTATGTACAACAGCCATAAACCCTGCTCTATCCTGTGCCAATCTTACTGCCTCTGACACACCCATCCTGATTACCCCAGTCACTGAATCAATCCACCTCATAGAGGGCCTTCCCCTCCTGCGCTGTCCCTCCACCCTCCCAAGCATGATATCCTTCTCCAAGGACCGGTCTCTCCTCACAACATGTCCAAAATATGTTAGAGCCTCAGAATCCTTGCCCCCAAGGAGCCACCATGTTTAACCCTTTGCAGGATGATTCTGTTTTCCTAGCAGTTCATTCAATACTCTTTCCAGCACCACAGCTCAAAGGCATCAATTCTCCTTCTGTCCTCCTTAGTCATTGACCAATTCTCTGATGCATAACAAGTGATTGCAAAGACTATAGCCTGTATCAGATACACCTTAGTCTCCAGAGTGACACCATTGCTCTTCAGTACCCTGGAGAGGTCCCTAACAGCAGACTTTCCCATCGTAATACATTTTTTTATTTCCTGGCTACTGGTGCCAAGAGTGTTGACCGTGGAGCCAAGCAGACTAAAGTTGTTAACAATCTCAATCTCTTACCATCCATCCTGATACTGCCAATTGGTCCAGTGATGAGAATCTTTGTCTTCTTGACATTGAGCTTCAATCCATACTGAAGGCTGCAGTCCTTGGCCCTCTGCAGCAAGCGTTTCAGGTCCTCCTCAGTTTCAGAAAGCAGGGTTGTGTCATCTGCATAACGCAGATTGTTGATAGATCTTCCACCAATCCTGACGCCACGCTTTGCCTCATAGAGCCCAGCCTCTCAGATAAACTGTTCTGCATACAGGTTGAAAAGGTATGGAGATAGGACACATCCCTGGTGTACACCTTTCCCAATTTTATTTATTTTATTTTATTTATTGCTATTTCCTTCGAAGCAGCTTGAACGTCTTCCTTCATCACCATAGGCTCTTGCTCATAAGTGATTTGATTAAATTAGTCTGTGTCTGCCAGTTCCTTTTGATACAGTGACTCAGTATATTCTTTCCATCTTCTTTTAATACTTCCTGGATCATTTAATAGTCTGCCTAAAGCATCCTTGATTATAGCAACTTGCAGTTTAAATTTGTTCTTCAGTTCATTGAGCTTAAGAAATGCTGAGCGAGTTCGGCCCTTATGATTTTCTGACTCCAGCTCCTTGCACATTTCGTTGTAATATTTTGCTTTGTCATCCCAGGCTGCCCTTTAGAATCTTCTGTTCAGCTCTTTAGTATCTTGAATTCTTCCTTGTGCTTTGGCTTCTCTGCGCTCCAGTGCAATCTTCAGAATTTCTTCTGACATCCATTTTGGTCTTTTTTTTTTTTTTCTCTTCTGTCTTTGCAATGATTGTTTGCACTCTTCCTGGATGATTTGACATCCTCCCACAACTCACCAGATCTTTGCTCACTAGTGTTCAAGGCCTGGATTTTTGTTTTCCTAGCTTTCTGTGGTTTTGTGGGTTTATTGCTTAAAATGGCTTCCCTAGTCATTGACTGACTGCCATGCGGATGAGTGGGAATCCGCATGGCAGTCAGTCAATGACCAGGCAAGCCATTTTAAGCAATAAACCCTCAAAACCACAGAATGCTGGGGGGGGGGGAATTGACAAATCACATACTACTGTTTTTAGGTAACACTATGAAAAACAGATCTGAACTGTACCCTATTCCACACCATCCTCACAATCTCTGCTATGTCCATTATTACAATCACTGGATCAATCTTTTCAAGGGTCATCCTCTCTTTCTCTGGCTTTCCACCTTTCCTAGCATGATATCCTTTTCCAAGGACTGACTGACCCTGACATCTTGCCCAAGGAATGTGAGACAAAATTTTACCACCATTGCTTCTAAGGAATATCCTAGTTGCACTTCCTCATAGACAACTTTGTATATATATAGTATTGTGTATATACACAAGTATATAGTTTGTATATAGTTTATAAATGAACTCATAGCCATAAAACAGATAAAATTAAAATGATAAAAAGTGCTGCAAATAAAAATAACATTATATTTGTCATCTGTCAACTTGTCAGAACTAAAGAAGAGGC